TATTTATATCCCTCACCCATTTCTATTGATCTATGCTTTTTAAAATTTAATTTCTAGCAGTTCTACTTATTCTGAGTACTAGTCCTTTGTCAATGAGACATATACAAATATACTCTGGTTCATGGCTTGCCTCTTTTTAATGACAAGTTTCTGTGGTACAGAAATTTTTTGTTATAATAGAGTCTAACATTTTTTCTTTGCAATTTGTTCTTTGTGTGTCTTGTTTCTTATCTTTCCTTATATTGAGATCATAAAAACATTCTTTTAGATCATCTTAAACTTTTGCTTTCCAACCATCAGTTTTGTGTTGGTATGGTATAATTTTTGTTTCTTATGGATAAACCAGTTACTAAATAATCATTTTTTTTTCTGCTGATTTGCCACTCCTTTCGTAAAACTAGTCTTCCATAAATGGAGGCGCCCATTTGGAGTCTTTCTATTCAATTCCTTGAGTCTGTTGGTTGATTCCTGCACTAAATATCACAATCAACTGACTAGTGATTCTTGACCCCACTTTATTTCTCAAACGCATTTACCATATTAGCTAATTTCTTCCACTGCATCATTACAACCACTTCAGGACTCTAGACTGCAGGACATGAGGGAGGATGCACAGACTACAGCTAAAATGCCGAAGAGATTACTGTCAAGCAGCAGGATATAGCTCATCTATTTCAGGACCAAGACAGAGTCAACCACCAACCATTGGATTTGGAAAACAAAATTTCAAATTAATTAACCTTGGTTCACTGAACTACTCCAGAAAACACTGCCTAACTTACTAGGAAATGAGATCTTCGTTCTGAATATCTGCAGTTTGATCATTGAAGAAACCAGGTATAAAAGGACAGATCAGAGCAAAGCCATCATTACTGGTGGGGGAGAAATGCACTTTTTGAGTTTTATTCTGATATGATTACTAAGCTGAAGCTAGAAGGAAGATGATACCTTTATGCATTCATGGGTCTCCAGTGAAGTATATAGGTCTTTTTGGTGCCAACCAAGCAGAAGAGTTTCAAATCAGGGACCTAAAACTTATATAATAATAGCAGGTTGGAATTTTCCAGAAAGGGAACATCCATTTCCATCTGGACCATTTTCATTTTATTATTTTGCTGCCTTGAAAGAATCCAGATGAATGTGAAAATATCCTAGGTTGGAGAGAAAAAAATGGCTTTTGCCACATGAAGGCAGGCCACGAGATAGGTAGAGATGTAACAAATGTCCAAATGAACCCACTATTTTTGTCTCCGAAAATCTGCTGTTCTTTCAATATCCCCATTCTCAGCAACAGCAGCACTGTCTGCCCAAATGCTACACTGCCCAAGCTGCATGCTTGGGCACCATCCTTGGAGATCAGTCAAGTGTTGTACTGGACCGATCATAGAAAGTCAACACCCAGACAAAAGTATGCCAAATTGCAGGGTTTATTGTGCCGGTGACCACGAAGGACTCGCGTCTCTCCAACCCATGGCATCGAAAGGAGGGTTCCAATGCTTTTTATACCCAAAAAGCCACCTTGGGAGTGGGGGTGAAGAGCAGGGATGGGGCTTCAGACATTCCGAGGTCTAGTGGATTCTGTAACTCATCTCCTGGGTGGAGACGGGGGATCCGGACATTCCGAGGGCTCGGAGACTTTTGTCAGTCCGTTTAAGTGGTTTACAGAAGTCAAGATAAACATTAGTTTATAAATTATCTGGGTAGGGTGGAATTCACAGACCTGAGTTACTTATTACAAGTCGCAGGAGCCAGGATGGAATTAGATGGGGATGCTTATTCTGGTTATTACCGGTAAGCAAAAGGCTAGCAACTCTGGCAGTTACTGATAAGTGGCATTCTGCAAAGTAAATTAGCAGCTGTATTTACAGAGGCCAAGGCCCGCAGTTATTGTGAGGAGAATGGGGCAGCCTCATTTTAAAAATCAGCTTTTTCTTTTACAAAATGGTGTTTCTAATGTTCTAACTTTAGGCTGGCTATGTTACAAAGTACAGTAGATTCTACTACCTAGATCTCCCATCCCCAAAACCATCTCTCCATCTCCCCTCCACTCCGTCCCTGCACACACTCACTCTCACCACCAAGGCCATTGTCATCTTTAGAGCTGAAACTGCAGCAATAGCTTTCTGACTGGTCATTCTATCTTGAGTTATAGTCATAGCCCTCCTCCCCATTCTGGAAGCCAAAAGGCAAGTCTGGTAATGTCATTTTCTGGCTTAAAACTCGGTAATGGCTTCCCATTCTCCTGAGGCTACAGTCCAAACTGATGATTTACATGGATCTGAGGGATTCAGTCCTTGCTGACCTTCATAACTACTTCCCTGAGAGGCTAAGAACCCGGACCGTGAAGTCAGTTTTCTTTGGGTTCAAATTCCCACTGCCTCACCTACTAGCTTCAAAACTTGAACAAACTTCTGGACCTCTCTGTGCTTCGGTGCTTTCCTGTGTAAAATGGAAACAGCCACAATGCCCACCTCACAGTGTTGTCAGGAAGACTGAATGAACTAACACAGGTAGAGTGCTCAGGACAGCCCCTGGCACATGCTAAGTGTTATATGTAAATTTTCAGTGCTGCAAAGAAAAGTCAGCACTGAGACAAAGGATCTTTCAGCAAGGCAATCTTTACTTCCTGCAGAAAGAGTACCCTTGCCAGCAGTCTTGCTACAAGAGTAAACGAAAAAAGGAAAAGCAGACGTATTTATCCCTTAAGCATTTGGGGTCATCTTCAGTGCTGTGTCTGATCTTTGTTGGTCGGAGCCAGACCTCACAGTCTAAAACTGAACCCAATTGGCTAATAACTTAAAACTTTCTTGAATACGTAAAGGCAATGGAGAACAAAAGGAAAAGAGGAAATCCAAATAAGGAAGGGATAGGAAGTTGCTTGCCAAAGGAGTTAGAAATGTAATAGCATAAATATCTTGGTTAAAGTATAAGGACATAGAACGTACTATCTGCCTGTGCACATGCCTAACAGCTACATAGGAAAGAGCTTAACAAAGAGTTATCAACAAAAAGCAAGACAGCTTTGAAGAAAGTGTTTAAAACAAGCTATTATTTCTAACGCTTATGATTTATTATGTAACAAGAAAGGAAACTTTGAAGAGGAACTTTTCTACTTCCCACAGTAAGCATTCTATCAGTGTTAACCATGATTTTTATTTCTTTAATTAATCATGCCTTCTCCAGCTTCTGGGCCCTTGTTTCCCAAGTTCTCTCCATCTCAGACACTCTTTCCAACACACTCTGATCATGCTACAAGGTAGTCTTCTGATGTAGGCAACAGCCGCAGCAGCACCTGAAAACTTGTTCAAAGGACAAATGCTCAGGCCCCATCCTAGACCTACTATACTAGAAACTCTAGGGCTCAGCCCCAGCAATCTGAAGATTTTTGTTTTGTTTTGTTTTTTCATAGAGTCTTGCTCTGTTGCACAGGCTGGAGTGCAGTGGTTGCATCACAGCTCACTGCAGCCTGGACCTCCCGGGCTCCAGAGATCCTCCCACCTCAACCTCCTGAGTAGCTGGGACTACAGGACTGCAGGTGTACCACACTGAGCTCTTTTTTTTTTTTTTTTTTTTTGAGATGGAGTCTAACTTTGTTGCTCAGGCTGGAGTGCAGTGGCACGAAATTGGCTCACTGCAACTTCCACCTTCCGGGTTTAAGCGATTCTCCTGCCTCAGCCTCCCGAGTAGCTGAGATTACAGGTGCCCATAACCATGCCCAGCTAATTTTGTATTTTTAGTAGAGACGGGGTTTCACTGTATTATTGGCCAGGCTGGTCTCGAACTCCTGACCTCGTGATCTACCTGCCTCGGCCTCCCAAAGTGCTGGAATTACAAGCATGAGCCACCGCGACGTCCCCATTTTTGTATATTTTTTAGAGATGGGGTTTCGTCGCATTGCCTAGGCTGGTCTCAAACTGCTGAGCTCAATAATCCGCCAGCGTCGTCCTCCCCAGGTGCTGTGATTAAAGGTATCAGCCAGTGTGCTTGGCCAGCAAACTGAGTTTTAACAAACTCAGCAGTCTTCCATGGGATTCTGATGCCCAGCTAAGGCTGGAAAACCAAGCCACCATCCTTGATAAATTGTACTCAGATGCTTGTTTGTCTCTACCCAGTGATGGTTTCATCCATTTTAGTTGGTTCATCTCTTTTGTAGGTGTTGAAAACTACGAGCCATCACGAACTGGAATGGAGTAAGCCATATTTCGTAGGACACATGATCTAATTCTGTGCTCCTCTTTGCTGTTTCCCTAAATCGACAACCACGTATTTCTAAAAGCTTGCCTAAACGTTCCAACTTGTTCTCACTCTTGAAGCCAGGCTTAGGCCTAAGCTCTAAAGCGGGAGGGGAACCCCTGGAGGTAGCGGGGCAAAGGCAAGATGCTTGCGTCCCAGGGGCCCTGCATGGCCTGGAGCGGCATAGGGGCCTCGAGGGTCTGCACTCGCCCCAGACTGGAGTTTCCCTCCTTCGCCATCTTTGGAGGAAGCACAAATAACTGAGCAAAGAAGGGGCAGTGAGCCCAGGGAATGGAAGTAGACTACGGGTGTCATGGAGGCTCAGGGTCTCAGCATCTGTACAGCCACCAAACTCCTGCCTCCTTATAAACACCGCTGAGTGAGGGCTGAGGAAACCCTCCTCCTCCTCCCTCATGCCTCCTCTCTCTCTCTCTCTGCCCCCTCACAGTCCTCCCCATTCTCCCCTCCCCGCCACCCCATCCCCGCCATTTCTCACTCCTCTGCTCCCCTCTCTCTCTCCCCACGTCTGAGCCCTCCTCCAATTCTGCCGCCTGGTAACAAAACCGCTGGTTCCCGACGCACGCACCGGGCAGGGCTCAGGACGCTTTATTGGCGGCGGCGGCTGGCTGGCTGAATGGCTTCCCTACAGAGAGGCCTGCGGCCCTGAAGGAGCCGGGGGCGCTGGCGGCCAGGACCTCCGGGCCGCTGCCCGGAGGAGACCGGCCCGAGTGCAGGGGACGGCGGCGGGCGCGCCGGGAGGTTCCCAGCTCCCGCCCAGCACAGCCCGGGAGGGGCAGCCGCTGCGCCACCGCCGCAGGCCCCGCTCCCACCCGCCGCCCATCCCCCGGCTCCCGCGGCCCCGCGGCGCCCCCTTCTGCGGACTCCGCGGGACCCTTCCTGGCCGGCACTGTGCGCGGGAGAAGGCGTCGCGGTGCAGGCATGGCCGCAGGGGCGGCCGCGCGGAAGGCGGCGCCGGTGCTGGAGGCGCCCCCGCAGCAAGAGCAGGTACCGGGGGCGCGGGGGCGCGGGGGCGCCCGGCCGGGGTCCCCGAGCTCACGCTGGGGCCGGGCAGGCTGCACAGACTGGTCTCCAAGATCCCCGGCCCCACCAGGGAGAACCGGCCCTGGAAAGACGTGGGGACGGATGACCTTCTGGAAGATGCCACCTTGAGGGGTGCCAGCCCCTCCTCCAGCCCCTCCTCCACTCCCTTCCTCCCGTTTCTGTCCCTCCCGGCTACCTTCCTTTCTTTCTTCCGATCCTCTGCTTTCGCTCCATCCCTCTCTTCGAATCCTCGAACTTTCTCTTCCTGGCTCACCCCTTCCACTCCCGCCCTCCTTGGTGACCGCCTGTGTGCCCTCCTCCCTCCTCGGCAGAAGCCACCAGAGCCCAGGGTCTAGGTCGTGGGCAGCGAGGGAGGGGTGTGCTCCAGGCTCTTGGCTAGACCGCCCTGGCTCTCAAACTCCAGCATCATCAGAATCACTCGGAGGCCGGGTTACCACGCAGACTGCTTGCTGAGCTGTGCCCCAGGGTTTCTGGTTCAGGACGTCTAGAAGGGGCCTGATCATTAGCTTGTCTAACTGGCGCCTGGCGCTCAGCCTAGTCCATTTCCGCTCCTGCTGACGTCGATTGCAAACCCAAACTTAATTTATTCCATTCTTAGGCTACATCAAGGTACCAGGAGGGTCTGGGGTTGGGGAGGGTAGGTCTTACCTGGAGGAGCATGAATCTCATTCATAAAGCCAGGACAAAAGTAACTCTTCAGAGCAAAAACAACTCTTAACAACAAAGATCACTCACATAGCAGGTAGGAAGAGATTATTGTCCCAAAGTAAGTTCAGGCGAAGAGCTGTAGGATTTCTGAGAAGGGCTTGCTCCTGACTGCTTGCTCCCCAATTCTCCTCCAACCCGTGAGGGCGTGGCGTTCGAGCTGGGTGTTGGGGAATGGACAGGATCTGACTGCAGGGACCAGCGAATTCTAGATGGAGGCAACAGCACTATCAAAGGGCTTGGAGATTTTTTTTTTTAATGTTGAGATGGATGGCCATGGGAAAAGGCAACGAGAGGGGACTGTCCACTCTGTCTGGCAGAAACCTAGGGATCAGGAATGCTTATAGCAAAAAATAAGGGTGGGCTAGGCTGTGGAGGGGCTTGTGTACCGCAAAATGGGAAACTTTTAACGACACTCAATGACTTTCTGCTGGTTCAAACCCAGATTATCCAAAGGGGGGTTCTGAATTGATCAATGCGTGCCAGCAGGGTCAGAGAACCTAGCACTGGTGAATTTGCTGATGTTTGCTCTTCCTTAAGGCTGTCATCACTGTCTGGTTTGCTGCCCTCAGGAGGTTCTGCCTCTCTGTTAAGGCTGCCCTAGGAGGGACTCACAGCTTTTCCCTTAATCCCCTCGCGACAAGATAGCGTGGTTCAGGGTCCAGCAGCCAAGGCATCACCTGGGAGCCTGTTAAAAATGCAGAGTCTCAGTTCCCACGCCAGACCCACTGAATCGTAATCTGCATTTTAACCAGACCCCAGGGTGATTCATTTGCACATCAAAGTTCAAGAAGGCTGGTTTCTTGACTTTGCTAGAGCTAGGGATAAGAAAGGAAAAGTAGAGATAGTAACCAGCCTGTATCTGATAGCATCCCTTTAGTTTGAACCTCACCCTCTTTTATTTTCCTTCACCACCCTTATAGTTACCTGAAGTATGTGTGTGTGTGTGTATTTGATTGCCTAAGAACCTCCTTCAGGCACAAAAGCTCCAGCAGAGCAGCCAGGTGGTCTGCCTTGCTTGCTCTTGTATTTCCAGGACCTAGAACAGTCTCAGCAAATGGCAAGAGCTCAATAAATATCTACTGAATGAATAAATGAACAGTAACATACAATCTCATGCTGTGGGACCCAAACTCCAGCGACAAACACCATCTCCCTATTCCCCATCCTCCACCTGCCCAGCTACAACCCCTAGAGTCTTTTGAGTCTGCTACTGGTTGGGCATGTTTGAAACTCCTTAAAATTGGAGTGTAAGAGAGCAGAGAGTATGGGTTTAGGAGTTCCCTCTTCTGCTTGTCTAAGGTTTGCTTTCCAGGCTCTGATTTCTCCTGAGAGCTGAGAGAACCCACCACTTCCCCCAAAACTGCTCCCTCCTTGGGGTAAACCATGCACAGCCTCTCCTCTCCATCCACAGTCATGCAGCCTTGCCTTGTGACATTCCTCACCAATGAATACACCCCTCCAAACTAACATTCCTATCTGGCACTCACATGTGGCCCAGGAACATCAGTAGTTTCGGAGTTCATTGTTACGGTTTTCCCACTTGTTGTAGACAGATTTTTCTAACAGGTGGCTATTGTAAGGGAAGAGTTGAAAGTGGGGAAATCAGTTTGGAGGCCCCAGTTCACGGGAGAGATGATGAGAGCCAATTCCACAAGGGATGGCAGTCTCCAAATACAATGAGCGTGCCATGTGCCAGACATGGGGATTCAGTGGGGGGATGAGACCAGCCCTGGCCCCCTACAGATTCAGGTAAGTAAGTGAGTCATCACCAATGCAGTCTGGTAACAATGTTCAAGGTCAGTAGATATCCTGGGAGGGGCCTCACTGAAAGGGTGTCCTGGGGTAAGTGGGACCCAAGGGTGGGCAGCAATGAGGCAACCCAGCTTGGAGGCTGAAAGGAGCAGAGGGCATGCAGGGGCAGTAGAGAGAGAGGGGAGGCTGAAATGGGATACAAGGCCTTGTGAGCCATGTTGGATTTCGGGCAGGAAGAAAATAATAGGATCAGTCTACCTTTAATGGGAGCACTCTTAGTGTTTGAAGGCGGAAGAGAGTAAAGGCAAGGGCTTCAGAGGCGGGGGACACCCTGCATGCTGGCCTCTGTCTCATCCTCCCCTTGCCACCCTATCTAAAGGGTGACAACCATTCCCTGATGCTGGTTATTCTTTATCACACATTCTATTTTCTTCATAGAATTCACTTCATTAGGCAGTTGTTTTGTTTGCTTGTTTATTGTGCGTCATTTCCTCTGGAACACACGGCCCTATTCATGAGGACAGGCACTTTGTCTGTCTTCCTCACCCATGAATAACGGCTCGTAAGCCAGTGGCTGGCATGGGGGAGGCATCGCTCCATATTTGCTGAATGAATGAAAAAATGAATGGTATAAAAGCCACAGGGGTGGAGAGAAGGGGGCATGTTTGTGAGGCATTTATAGGTAGGGTCAACAGGAGAGTAGTAGGTTAGAGGTACACGGTTGGTTGGGGGCAGGGATGATGCCTCAGGCTTTTCTGCTTTGGGCAATTGGATAGATAGGACAGGATGCTATTGACCGAGACAGGGACAATGAAGTGGGAGCAGCTTGGGGGGAAACAAGTATGTTTACTTTAGGGCAGGTTAATTCACATATCTGAGAGAGAGATTCCTAAGTGGAGCAACGTAGGAGGCATTCAGAAGCATCTGGAGCCCACGCAGATTTAGCTAGCCAAAATGATGGTTCTGACACAGGAAAAAAACAACGTGGCAACTGATCAGACAAGGAAAACGATAAAAGAGAGGGCAGAGGCAAGCTTACTTTTGTACTGTTCTTTTTAGTGACATATGTTCACGCAGAATACACTTAATGTAAAGAACTGTAAGAAAGAAAGAAAATACCCAAGACGCATCACCATTCATGGGGCACTCCTGTTAACATCTTGGGAACCATTCTTCTGGATTTTTTTCTTCCAGATGTCTCTTTATGTAACTATACATTTACATAAATAGGCTCAGATTATACACAACTGTTTTGCAGCATGTTTTTTCTGTTAACAATATGTCATGAAAACATTTTATGTCAGTAAATGTGAATCTGTGTTATTTTATATATCTTATAGATTCCTTTACATAGACATACAAAGATATGGGTCTTTTCATCCATCATGCTGGGTACTTGGTGAGTATTTCATTTTTAAAACAGGTATCTTTCAATCCTTGGAAATTTTCTTCTATAATTTCTTTTAAACTTCCTGCCATCTGTTATCTTCTCTGGTTCTATAACTCCTTTTTTTTTGGATGTGAGGAGATTTCCTGGCCCAATTCTCTCATATTCTTATATTTTCTCTCCTGTTTTCCATCTCTTTGAGGTTTTTTTAAAATTCTTCCTGAGTTCTTCCATTTATCTTCAATTTTTCCATTCGATTTTTTATTTCTGTCTTCTTTTTAATTCCTAAGAGCTTTTCGTTGTTTTTCTATGTTCTTTAAGGCTCAGTGTCATCATGGGTATAGAACCCTTTCCTATCTCAAACATCTTGTGATCTTTGATTGTTCATTTGTCTCACAAAAGCGAGACTCTACAGCACAGTTAAGCCCTTGCTAGCAGGGAAAGCTTGTTGACAAGCAGACCTCAGTGGTGGCCTGGCTGGGCCTTTCCATAGGGAGAACAAGGACTGTTCATAGCTATAGGTCTTTTCTCTTGGCTTAGATTGATTTATTCTGTGTGTAAGGGGCACATCTGGCTGCCAGCCAAGTAAGCAAGCTCATATCTAACATGGCTAGGCCAAGAGCACAAATGGAGGCCCTTGTGCCACATGTCTAAGTATTATCAACTGATCTGCTCTCACAGCCCTGCCTGCAGGTCCACCTGTGGCCCGTGTAGCCACATTCTCCCTAACTGCACTGCTGACTACAGGCTTGAGTGGTAGCAAGGATCTGCTGGGACCTGTACTAGTTTCCTAGGGCTGCCATAACCACAAAAAAATGTATTCTCTCACAGTTCTGGAGGCCAGGAGTTCAAAATCTAGGTGTCAACAGGGTCATCTCCCTCTAGGAGAGACTTCTTACTTGCCCCATCCATCTCTAATGACTCCAGGTGTTCTTGGCTTGCAGCTGCATCACTCCAGTCCCTGTTTCCATCTTCACATGGCATTCTACTCCGCCTTGCTACTCTGTGCCTGTGTCTCTGGATGTCAAATCTTCCTCTTCTTTCTCTTGTAAGGACACTAGTTGTTGGATTTAGGACCTGCCCTAAATTTAGATGGTCTTACCCTGAGGTCCTCAATTACATCTGCAAATACCCTATTTCAAAATAAGATTACATTCTAGGTACCAGGGGTTAGACCTCAGACATGTCTTTTTGGAGGACACAATTCAACCCACTACAGTGCTGAAACCAAGGATGAGAACTGACCCCACTAACAACCAAGGAAGCTGTGGTACTTAGGATCTCCCACCACACACCTCACTTTTTAGACTTGGGATTTCCAAGCAGTTACAAGCTGCTCCCAGACTACCCCACTTCAGTTCACTGGGGAGCCTGGTCAGGCGAGACACCCACTTTAGATGGTTTGGGAAAGCCAAATTTTAAAACTTTATCTCCGATTTCCCAGAACACAGGCTACAGCTAGTGCTCGACTTACGACCACGATTGGTTCCGACAGACCCGTCGTAACACTATTTGGTCGTAAGTTGAGTAGGCTATATGTACAGTACTGTGAAATGATGAATCTCTGGAACCAGCCAGTGCTTGCTACAAATTCTTGACTGTAATCTTCCCCAGCACACTCCTTCAGAGTCTGAAATAGACTTCTCGCCTTCATCTGCACAGTAAAAAGACTTAATAGTGTCCGTTTTTGAATTTGATCTTCCATCCAAATATATAGCAATTTCTCCATTTCGTGGATGGGCCCGCTTCGTTGCTTTGTTATAACTGTTGATCGCATGGGTGCAGAACCTTTCCCAGCTTCACGAATTCTTTCTTTATCTTTCAAAATCGTCGACACAGTCAAGTGTGATAACTTCGTATTACGTGCGATCACAGTCACTTTCTTTCCTCCTTCGCACTGCTTAATTACCTTCATTTTCGTGTCGAGATCGATGGCCTTTCTTTCCTTCTTGGCAGGCTGAGGTGTAGACAAAGACAATTTCCTCTTGGTAGACATCTTGGGAGGGTTTTGATGAAAAATATCCAAGACACAAAACACAAACTGCTGTACCGAGTCTGGGATAACAGTTGAAATGGTGCACGCGGAGATGGTGGTGCTGCCGGAAGCTGGTCCGCACTGTCGTACGCCCAGCTGGGTAACGTTTGTGCTGCCAGACGCGGAGCAGTCGTGGCTAGCGATTGTGGTCATAAAGTCGAATGGTCGTAAGTTGCATAGGTCGTAAGTCAATCAATACCTGTATTCTTTTTCTTCTCCCCAACCTCCCAATCCCCTGGGGTATCAATCTTACATCATCTCTCTCCAATCAAGGTCTACTCAAAAAATCAGTTAACAGACTTTCAAAATATTTTCTTAAGAGACAAAAAAGACAAAAACACAATTCTTTTATGTTTTGGGGTTTGAGATGTCTGGGGTGTTCTAAAGCAAGGCAGGGCCCCTGCAGCCTGATCTGGAGGTGATGCCGCCAGGGAGGATGGACTGACCCCACTGACTCCCAAGGAAGCTGTGGTAGGTAGGCGCTCCCACCACACACCTCACTTTTCAGACTTGGGATTTCCAAGCAGTTCCAAGCTGCTCCCGCACTACCTCACTTCAGTTCACTGGGGACCCTGGTCAGCCAAGACAGGATTTTGGGACTCTCCAGACTCAGATGAAGGCTGTCAGTGCCCTCTGCTCTCCCTCCACGTGCCTGGTGCCTCTGGGCCTGTGCCTCGGATTGAACCGCTAGCACTCTGCTAGTGTGGGGACCTCTGAGCCTTAAACTGGCTTTCAGTAAACCTCATGTTATAAACCCCAGTTGCATCTCCCACTTCCAGACGCCTTAGGACCCTGCAATCTACAACCCTTCTGAGGGTCTTAGGACACACATTCTGCTCTGCACTGCCCGCATGCTGGTGGGCTTCCGTGTCTTTGCCCTGTGGTGTCCCGGTGTCCCCTTCTGCTGGCCCATCTGCTGTTCAGTTCCAGAATTGATTGCTCTGGACTCCTCTCTCATTTTCCTTGGACTTGGAGGATCACATTCTTTTGCGTTGTTCTAGTGGTGTTTGGGGAGGGAGGGGAGGTAAGCACACTTTTTTTACTTAACATGGTTCACTAGAAGACCTTGTTTTTACTTTTTTTTTTTTTTTTTTTTTTTTAAGATGTAGTCTTGCTCTGTAGCTCATACCAGAGTGCAGTGGCGTGATCTCAGCTCACTGCAACCTCTACCTCTGGGGTCCTGGTTCAAGCAATTCTTCTACCTCAGTCTCCCAAGTAGCTGGGATTACAGGCATGCGCCACCATGCCCAGCTAATTTTTGTATTTTTAGTAGAGACAGGGTTTCACCATGTTGGCCAGTCTGGTCTTGAACTCCTGATCTCCTGATCCACCCGCCTCTGCCTCCCAAAGTGCTGGGATTATAGGTGTGAGCCACCGTGCCCGGCCTTATTATTTTTTAATACACTTATTACTAGTGAGCTTGAACACCTTTCCATAAATTTATTGATCATTTGTATATCTCAATTCATGAATTTCTTATTCATGTATTTTGCCCTTTTGGACCATCTGTCTCTTTTTGATAAATTATAAAAGCTCATTTTACGTTTGCTTATTGATTTTTTGCCCCTCACATATGTTATGCTTTCTCCAGTTCAATATGTCTTTCAAATATTGAGCATTACAATGTACTTTATTTTTATGTCCTCAAAATCTGTCACTTTTTTAACTTTATAATTTCTGGGCTCTACATCATACTTAAATTTGCCTTTTCCACTGCACAATTATAAACATGTTTACTCATAATTTCTTCTAGTACTTTTAAGATTTTCTTTCTCACATTCAAGAGAGAACAAGGATTTGGATGAAATTGAAAAGTATAAGTTTCGGCAATATTTGCACAATGCCGGGACCTTTCTGGGTGATGCCAGGAAACAGGAAGTGTATGGCTCCCTGCCCCCAGGTGATCCCACCAGGTGGGTCCCTAATATTCAAATGGAGGTCACAACAGCTGGGCTCAAGTGTTGAGTTCCAGGAGTGAAGCGAGCCTCAGGTAGTTAAGGTGCATGAGTCTCCTCCTTTTTTCCACAGGTCTCTCTCTGCTAAATTCTGCTTTGGGGGCAAAAACATTGGCTTTCTATGCTCTTCTGTATTCTCCCCCAAAGTTACATGATTATAGCTTTGGCCTTAAAGGTTTCGAATGACCAAATGTAGTAGGTTAGCAATAATCTAGAAAAGGCAGTCTGTGGGTGGACTCTGCAGGTAATCCAAAAAGCACTGTTCTGGAGATGATCTCTCTGCTCTCCAGCTCAATTTGTAAGAGCACAAGCCCAGATTACTCCCTTCCCTGGAGTCAGTAATGATGCCTTCTTAACAGGAGAGTACAAGAATGCGCCAAATGAACAGAGCCTCTGGTCAGCTCTGTCTCTGAAACTTTGAACTTGGAAATGGTATTTACTCACTGAGATTGGAAATGATATTTACTGACTACCATCATTTAAGATACCAACAAAACAGATGTTTTTTAGGGATGCTCAGACTCACACTTCATATCCTAGAAGCCAGAGGAGCACCGCCTATTAGGAGACCACTCTCTGTAACTTTGACTGATTTGCCAAAACAAAACCACTGAAATGGAGCCTCATCTGATCCTTTGAGAACATGATCATATACTTATTTAACAGGGACCTGATTACTCTTTTTTTGTTTGTGTTGTTTTAGTTCTATAAGCAAATTATTTTACTAGGACTGTTAACCCAAGTTATTCAAATACTATGTGGTATTGTTATTTTTCATGATTTGGGTTTTCCATGTATTGCTTTAACATACAAGCCAAATAAACAAGGACATTTTTTGATAAGGGCCCTTTTTATGTTTTTCAGGTCTCTCATACAAAACTTTCTGCAGAAGATGCATGGAAGTAAGTAATTAGTATTTTTTAAGAGATGTTTTGCTAAAAATTAGATTTTTATCTTAACAGTTGAAAAATTGTGAATTTTCCAGGATAGGGAAGATGGGGTAGGATGCACAAATAACTATAGACCAAAACTGCATGGATTTCCGCTTTTTGCTGCGGCATGTCTGTAGGAAAAGATCATGCAGTCCCACAAAGCTGAATTAATATATTCTTCAAAATATGGCTGTGTCAAGCTACTATTTATTTTAGCCACAAGATACACTGGTTTTGTTCCTCTACCATTGACCCTGTGTTCTGGTACATACTGTAAGGCCATCGGACCCTGTGAGCACCACAGGAAGTGAAATAAAAATGAAAAGCTCCTCCTTTTTTATATTACAGCAGTTAATTTTGGATGTATTTCTACTCAAAAAAGAATATACTTACTACATTTGTACACCAATATATACTTTTCAAAGTACTTCAACATAGGTTAACCCATTTGAGATACATTTTTATTGTAGATAGCCTGTTATAATAGATTAATAGATTAACCTCATGAAGCATATTTTATTTTATATCTCTGCAAGTTCTATTTTAGACTGATCATGAAGTCACTCTTTTATCTATATGGCCTAAGTTCAAAGTCTGTTAATTATACAGAATATTAAATAGCTATTTTAGATTTGGAGCTGTAAAAAACACAACTAAGCTCTTGTACTCTTTTCATTTTTCTTCGCATTTCTTCAGGGGGTCAAGTATTTTTTGGTTTGTTTTGTTTTTAATGAACTTCTAGAAATCATTCTTGTCTCCTGAGCTTATCTTCCAATAGAGAGATTAATATTCTGATATGGATTTCAACTTTGTCATTTGATAAATGAAGGAGATTCATTCCATCTATGGTAACTGCTGCTAGCACTGACATTCTGAGAATCCCTTTCAAAGAAGCTGAACTTGAGCAGGAGTATTTATTAGGTTTTGTGGGCTGATTTCTACATGTTTTCCAGCAGGGGGCACCCGTGGGATTTGGATGGGGCCCTTTTCTGAGGCATTCACTACTCTGCTCTTCAGAGTTGCTGTAGAAATGCTGACAGAGGAAGAGAACCCAACCCACATACCCATCAAGTGCCTTTAAAAAGTCACTATCTCATGGCACAGACTGTTACCCTGCGGCGTTTTCTGGGTGGTACACTAGCTTACTGCATACTGTAACCAGTCGTAAGTGGAAACAACTTTAAGAGATTTCGTGACTGATGGTGCCACACCAGGGATGAAAGATGATGCTAACCAGTATTTAGAAAGTAACTGACAACATTCATAATTGCTCCGCATGTTCGCTCATCTTGACCCTGGGCCTCTTTCTCTTCCTCTAGGCTTGTGGTTCTCAATCTTAGCTGCCCCTTAAAATGACATGGGATGCCTGAAAAATTCCTGATGCCAGATCCCATCCTGCAAATCTGTATTAATTTGCTAGGAATAGCATAACAAAATACCACAGAATAGGTGGCTTAAACCACATAAATTTATTTTCTCACAGTTCTGGAGGCTGAAAGTCCAACATTAAGGTGCTGGCACGTTTTGGTTGGCACGTTCAAGTATAGGGGATTAGGACTTCAGTGTATGAACTTTGAGAGGGTACAGTTCAGCCCCTAACACCCAGAAATGGTCATCTAATTGATGTGGATATCGGAGGTTAAGGTTTTTTTAAAGCTTCCCAGTGATTCCTAACTTACAGACAAGGTCAAGAACCACTGCTGTGGGTTTTCGTTGAGGCTACTCCAGGATGTTAAACCAGATGATAAACTATTTTGTTGATTTTCTGTGCCATTGTGCAAAACTAATCATCCAACTAAAATGGAAACATTCAGCCATCATGGGAATGTCTGTGCATGTCTAAGATAACACTTAAGCCTATTCTTTCTCTCTGTAATAGTTCTGTAACAATTTATACAACTCATTGAGTAGCTTTCCATTGCCCTGTGGATAATATACTCTCCTCTGGCATAGACAGAATCTGCAGGGTATCCTTTTACTTGAAATGGTCGGAAATTATTTAAAATTACCAACATTTGACTCTTTTTGACTTTCAAAAATGGAAGTTTCATCTGATTGCAGCCCAATAATAATTATTCCTCATATAGGTACAAATAAAATAACAATGTGCTTTATAGTCTTACAACAACCTTGTCAGTTACAGAAGGATGGTTATCTTAAATTTGCAAATGAGGAAACTGAGGCCCAGAGAGGATAAATGACTTCCCCAAGGTTGTAAGGCAATGAAGTGACAGATCAGGGACTGGGGCCCAGGTCTTCCTGGGGCCCATTAGTTTTTTACTTAAAAGACAAGGCTGAGGCCAACCACATGGGAAAGCAAAGGGCTAAGAGGAACTGGTTTTGCCAAGAGAGTCAGGCTCCTGCTCCCAGCTGCTCCTTCTCCAGATCTCAAGAAAGGGAAGGAACCAAGAAAAACTTAGAAATATTTATAATCAAAACTTACCAACCCTCACATTAGAAATCCCCCATTGCATTTTGTGAGCCAAATCTGTCAAATCTGTTCTTCTTTTTTTTTTTTTTTTTTTTTTTTTTTTTTTTTTTTTTTAACTAAATGTGCAAGGTTGAGGGCTTTTTCAGATGACCTCATTTGCCGGTTCCAGCCTGCAGCAGGAGAGGATGTACAAGATGCACCGCGGCCATGAATCCATGCACGTGGAAATGATCTTGATCTTCCTCTGTGTTCTGGTCATTGCCCAGATAGTGCTGGTTCAGTGGAGGCAGAGGCACGGCCGATCCTACAACGTGAGTCACCCCCATGGCTACTGGGAGCCTGCTCCAGCTTGTATCAGCTTGACTTTTTTTCCAGGACACATTCTCCCTTGGTTACCACTTTGAAGGAACTGCCTTGGTTTAAGTCAGTGGTTCTCAACCAGGTGCAGTTTCACTCTCAGGAGTCATTTGGCAATGTCTGGAAACACTTTTGATTGTCAAGACTTGCAGGGATGGAGGCGGGACGGGAGTTGCTACTGGCACCTGGTGGATGGAGGCCGAGGATGCTGGTAAACATCCTCCAATGCAGGACAGCTCCCCACAGCAAAAATTATCTGGCCTAAAATGCCAATGGTACCACGCCTGAGAAACCCTGGTTTAAGTAAACCAGTTTTCCTTTCACACATGAACAACTTCTGCCAACAGCCAAGGAAAGGAGGATTAGGAATAGCCAAAAGAAATGGTTTAGGCTGTCTGCCATGATCTGAATGTGTCCCCCAAAGTACTTGGGTTGAAGATTTCATCTCCAATGCAACAGTGCTGGGAGGTGGGGCCTAATAAGAGGTGATTCAGCCATAAGGACGCTGCCCTTGTGAATGGATTGATGCCATTATTGTGGGAGTGGGTTTATTATAAAAATATGAATGTTGGCCCATTTTCTCTCTTGCCCTCTCACCTTCTGCCATGAAACACACAGCAAGAAGGCCCTTGCAAGATGCCAGCCCCTCTGTCTTGAACTTCCCAGCCTCCAGACCATGAGGCAATACATTGCTGTTTATTATAAATTACCCAGTCTGCAGCATTCTGTTATAGCAGCACAAAACAGACTAAGAAAGAAAACTGGTACCAAAAAGTGGGGCTGTTACTGTAACAAATGCCTGAAAATGGGGAAGCAGCTTTGGAACTGCATAATTGGACAGAGGCTGGAAGAGTCTGAAGGAGCAGGCTAGAAACAGCTAGGCTTGCTGTAATGGAGTATTAAGGATGATGCTGGTGAGGGCTCAGAAGAAGAAAAGAACTATAGAGAAAGTCTGAAACTTCTTAGAGATTACTTAAGTGGTCACTTAAATCAGAACGTTGGTAGAAATATGAACAGTAAAAGCCATTCTCCTGAGGTCTCAGACAGAAATGAGGAACAAGGTTTTGGAAACTGAAGTAACGTCCATCCTCATTATAAAGTCACAAAGAACTTGGCTTAACTGTGTCCATGCTGGAGGGCTTTATGGAAAGCAAATTTAAGAGTAATGGACCAGGATATCTGGTGAAAGAAACTTCTAAGCAATATATTGAAGGACTTGCATGGCTTCTTTTAACTGCATATAGTAAAATGAAAGAGAGAAATGATTTAAAAGATGGAATTTATAAGTAAAAGGGAAACAATATAAAATTTGGAAAACTCACAGCTTCGCGATATAAAGAATAAAAAGGCTTGCAAGGTGTAGCCAAGTGACCCTTTGATAAAGGGAATTAACACAGCTAGGAGGAGGCCAGGTGCAATTAATCAAGACAACAGGAAAATGACCCTGAAGGTTTTTCATTGACATTCAAGGCTGCCCCTCCCAACACAGGCCTAGAGCTCTAGGAGAGCAGAATGGTTTTGGGTGACTCTCCCAGTATGCCTTCCTCAGGACCAGGAAGCAGAGCCACCTCAGAACTCTGCTTCTTGAATTCCAGCACCACACTCCTTGGCTACTTCAGCTGTGGCTTCAGGGAACCCAGGTGCAGCTCTACCTGCTGCCCAGGAGGGTACAAGCCGTCAATTTTGGTGGTGCTATTTCTGTAGGCACATGCTGTGACACCATGACACCCTCCACTTAGATTTCAAAGGATGTTGCAAACAACCAGAGGGCCTAGACAAAGACTTGTCTTGGGGCAGAGCGGCCACAGAGAGCCCTGAGGAGGACAATGCCCTGCACAAATGTGGAGTCATAGTCATAGCAGAGAGTCCCCACTAGGCCTAGGGGAGCCCTTCATGTTGAGGATGCCCCCTAAGCCCCAGAACTGTACAATTACCAGCATGCAGCTCCAGCCTAGTAGAGCTATGGGCATGAGATTCCAACTTGTGAGAGTTGTGTGGGCTGAGCCCCCCAAAGCCATGGGGGCAAGGCTTTTCTTGAGGCCTCAGGGTTCCAAACCCTACCTCAATATGCCCAGCAAGTGGGACATGGAGTCAAAGAAGATTATCCTCAAGTCTTAGGATTTAGTATTGTTCACCTTGTTGAGTTTTAGACTTGCTTGGGGCCTGTTACTCCTTTCTTCTTGCCTGTTTCCCCCTTTTGGAATGGGAATGTCTATCCTCTGCCTGACCTATCATTGTATTTTGGAAGAAGATAACTTGTTAATTTCACAGGCTCATAGCTGGAGGGAAATTTGCCTCAGAATGAATTGTGCCTTGAGTCTCACCCACATCTGATTTAGATGAGACCCTGGACTTTGGACTTTTGAGTTGGTGCCAGAACAAGTTAAGACTTTGAGGCAATTGGGATGGAATGAATATATTTTACATGTGAGAAAAACATGAATTTGGGGCCAGAACAGAATGCTGTGGTTTGAGAGTGTCCCCTAAAGTTCATGTGTTGGAAACAAAACATTCAATGCAACTGTTAGGAGGTGGGGCCTAATGAGAAGCAATTAGGTCATGAGGGCTCTGCCTTCATGAATGGACTAATGCCTTTATTGCGGGAGTGGGTTCTTTATAAAAAGACGAGTTTAGCCCCCTGTCCTCCTTCTCGCTTTCTCTGGCCCTCTTGGCTTATGCCATGAGATGATGCCGTGAGATGGCCCTCACCAGATGCCAGCCATTCAATCTTGGACTTCTGAGCCTCCAGAAGGAGAAATAAATTTCTTTTCATTGTAAATTATGAATTTATTTCTCACATAAATAAATTATGTGAGAAATAAATTTCTTTTCATTGTAAATTACCCAATCTGTGATATTCTAGTATAGTAGCACAGAATGGACTAAGACACTATCCATCATTAGCAGTAAACTATCTTGGCACTAATGGTTTGCATATCCATGGAAATGCATTCATGCAAGCACTGCACTGACCTCAGCAACACAGAGCAAGATTCTGTTTTCACAGACTAATCTCATTCAAGCAGGTTCACTAGAACCTTCCCACGTCAGGGCCTGAGACCTTGCCATTACAATGTTTAGAACAGTAGTTCTCAATGGTTAGGGCAGGGTGCATCAAAATCATGTGGAAAACATGGTTCCCAGGTCCTGTCCCCAGAGTTTCTGATTCAATAGGGACCCAAAAATGTGCATATCTAACAAGTTCCCTCCTGGTGCTGGTAGTGCTGAGGCTGCCAGTCCTGGAACCACACTTTAAAAACCTCCGATTGATTCAGACGTGGACTAAATGGAGAAGTGCTGCAAAGGGGGAAGGTCCTCAGTTAACACTCTACATGGTTCTGAGTCATGGAATGGCCATTATAAAGCCTTATGGACTCTACTTGCCTGTAACATATGAAGTGTTGACTTAGACCAATATATTATTTTATTATTACCTGTCATAAAATTTATTTCCTATGTAGTACAGGGTCTAAAGGAATTCTTTGAGTTCTGTATAATATATAAGTTTAGGCAATTTTGAACATTTCGTTAGAAAGGAGAATCTCATTTTATTGTTTAAAGCAAATGTATCTATTTTCTGCCATGTCACTTTTGTCTTATCAATTACAGTAAACATCCTTTATATTGCAAGTGGATGAAACTAGAATCAAACCTCACTAGTTCTTCATTCATATCAAGGAAACACTCTTTAAGTGTATCTTAACTGTGGTTTCCTTATCTGCAAAATGGAAATATCTAAGATAAAATTTCTGGAGTCCTCATGTAGCAAGAAACCTAGATTCATAAGGAATCAGTTCATAGCCTTATTCATTCTTTCTTTATAATTAATCGTTATCTCTGGATTGATGTAGAAAAAAAATGGTTTTTTTCCATAGTAACACAGGTATGGGTTTTGCATAGGAAGCCCCCTGACCTTGAAAGGAAACAGTGCTCCAGGAGCCCTTGACTTGCACTGTGTCACACAACTCCTGCACCGTTTTGATTTGATGATTTTTTTTTTTTTTTTTTTTTGAAATGGAGTTTCGCTCTTGCTGACCAGGCTGCTGTGCAGTGATGCAATCTTGGCTCACTACAACCTCCACCTGTTGGGTTCAAGCAATTCTCCAGCCTCAGCCTCCCAAGTAACTGGGATTACAGGTATCCACCACCACACTCAGCTAACTTTTGTATTTTTAGTAGAGACAGGGTTTCGCCATGTTGGCCAGGCTGCTCTCAAACTCTTAACCTCAGGTGATCCACCTGCCTTGGCCTCCCAAAGTGCTGGGATTACAGGCGTAAGCCACTGCACCTGGCCAGATTTGATGATTTTTTGAGGTGGGTTATGTACAAAGACCATCCTTGTCTTGTATTTGAAGCAGCTGCTCTTGTGTCAACTCTTGGAGGATGTGTGTCACTGCACCAGTGATAAGTGTAAGTGTGGCACTTACACACTTGCTCTTCCTGGCAAAGACAGACCTGCCTATGGGTCAGAATCCCCTTAAAGGACTTGTGGCCATTGAAGGGTCTAACCCTAGGTGACTCAGGCTTCACTGGACCAGGTTGACACCCTGGAGCCTGACCCCTGTTGGTTAGCTGGAGTCATCTGAGTGGTTTCCTCTTACTAACTGTACAAGCTGTGCTACCTGGAATGCCTCCCCAGGGATCTGCTTTTGACTGCTATCTGCCTGAATCCTTTAGTCACCCCACTTTTGCTCCTAAGGTTGCTGTTTCTATGTCCCTCTGTCATACAACTCCGATGTTTTATGGCTACCCAGAGGGGCTCTGTGGTCCTAAGGATCACCTTGGAGGTGACCAGGCGCCTGTGCTCATGCCTCTCATGGTGATAATGATCACGGTGATCCTGTCTAGCACTTTGACAAAGCCAGGAGCCTGCATAAAGTTGCCCCCAGCATAGTCAAGGACAGATTCAGGTCTCGTGGTGCCTTGATACTCTGCTGGGTTAGCTCACAGACTT